ATCGGAAGGGGTGGACCATTTTATTGGCCTCCACGTTCGCCAGATTTCACTCCATTAGATTTGCTGTATGGGGACATGTGAAAACAATTGTGTATGAAACCAAACCTAGTTCATTAGAAGATTTGAAAGCTAAAATAACTAATGTGATTTCAGGCATTACTGTAAATCAGTTAGCAAATGTTTTCCGTGAACTGCAAAATCGTATTACCATTTGTATTGCTAATGATGCAGGACATGTGGAAACTTAAATAAAATGTCAATAAAAGCTTACAAAATATAGATTTACTTCTTTCTAATCGATTTTACAAATTATTTCTATCGCAAATACAAATAAAGTTATAATTTTTTAAACTGCACACGAACTCTATGGACACCCTGTATAGAGTAAATATGGGACGTAAATTTACACTAGTCCCAGAAGATTACATTTGTTAAGTAGCGTCTATTTTCAGCGTCGCAGGAACGTGCTCTTTCTAAAGCATTTTCTCTCAAAGCCGTCAATGTGTCAGGGTCCAGTGCCTTAGTGTTTGTCTTCAGTTGCTGGAGAGTTTGAGGCATGTTGACAATTTTCTCGTCATATCCGGGGAATATGTGGGACGGCAGTTTATTTTCCCTAAAATTTTCCTGAGAAGCTGGACGGTGGTCCTTGTCGTACGAGCTGTTTCCCCAACTTGCGGTACGTAAACAGGTAGATGCATTTAAAAGTTTGTTAGAGTTTTCTCCAAGAGATCAAAACGTGTCGCTCAAATATTCCTTCATTCCTAGCCAAACGAGAAATGCCACTGTGTGGAAGCTCACTTACACAACCTTTACGCTCAAAACTTGTATCGTCCTAATTATGCCAGTAAATTACACCTGACAGCAATGCCTCTGATCGGGAGATTGGAGGTTTTGATTAGCGTGGCATCACCTCTTAATTTCTATTGTTCCCAGGTTCACCCTAACTCGATGTGGTAGCATCTGTTACGGGTCCACAAACAAAACCAAAACCACAAGAAAGTATAAAAAATATTTTTTTATAGAAAAAATACCAGCAATACATTTTTGTTAAAAAAAGAAAACATGATCGACAATACATTTTATTACAAAAAAAATACCAACATTACATTTTATCATCTACAAAATATATATCTTAAAAAAATCTACCCTGAAAGTATAAAAATAGGTAAAAATATCTATAATTGAAGGCATACAATTTTCTATATTTCTGGGATGAGGTATTATGTACACTATTTACATTATTCGGACTATTGTCCTCATCTTCATCGCCATATTTATTACAACGTTTCGGCCTTTCAGTATCTGTCTATATTTCTGAGATGAGGTATTATGTGCACTATTTGCATTATTCGGACTATTGTCCTCATCTTTATCGCCATATTTATTACAACGTTTCGGCCTTTCAGTATCTGTCTATATTTCTGAGATGAGGTATTATGTACTCTATTTACATTATTCGGACTAATGTCCTCATCTTTATCGCCATATTTATTACAACGTTTCGGCCTTTCAATATCTGTCTATATTTCTGAGATGAGGTATTATGTACACTATTTACATTATTCGGACTATTGTCCTCATTTTTGTCGCCATATTTATTACAACGTTTCGGCCTTTCAGTATCTGTCTATATTTCTGAGATGAGGTATTATGTGCACTATTTGCATTATTCGGACTATTGTCCTCATCTTTATCGCAATATTTATTACAACGTTTCGACCGTTGTACGCTCCGGTCTTCTTCTGGTGGTTGGAATGTCGAACTGAACCCTTTATTTCGCTCACTGGGGTAGACTGTTCTCGTCCCACGTGCCGTGTTTAATAATAACAGCAAAAATGGCAATATGTGCACTGGTAAAAAATGGTTGCTGAAGACATTAGGTTTATAATACACAGAAACAATGTTTTTTCACAATGAAATAACGTTTATTATTTACATTATTCGGTCTATTGTCTTCATCTTTGTTGCCATATTTATGACAACGTTTCGGCCGTTGTACGCTCCGACGTTCTTCAGGTGGTTGGAATGTCGAACTGAACCCTTTATTTCGCTCACTGGGGTAGACTCTACTAGTTCCACGTACTCTGTCTAATGGATGTCAGTTATCAATTATCTCCTGTTAATTCTCCTCTCCAAATCCTCCACTGCCTTAACCAGTTATTGAACTCACAACTCTAAAACTCTAGGATAAAAGCATTGGTTAGATCCAGTGACAGGACCCAAAGAGTGGATAAAGGCGTTGATTAGATCCAGTGAGATAACCCAAAGAGTTGTGAGTTCAATACCTGGTTAATGCAGTAGAGAATGAAATCGGTGAGTTTGAATGAAATCGGAGGATAAAAGTTGAATTTATCGATTTTTGATCGGCTTTATCGATTATTGATTTTTAAAAAATTATCTATTATTAATTATGTATTTTTACGCTAAGAGCCTATCTCTTACATTGTACAATGTATATGCCAAGTTTGGTCAAAATCGGTTGGATGGATCTCGAGTGAGA